TACGTTAGGAAACTAAGAACATCCAATATTGAGAAGAATTTTTGAAAACTGCCTTCACCCAAAGACGTGTGCAGTCTGGAGAGCCCCTTTTCCTGCTCTGCTCTGGCAGCTGATCCCAAGAACAGAGTAACAGTGCTTCTGACCAGTTCCATCTGTCCCTTTCAGTGCTTTGCAGCATCTCCTACAGATCTCAGAAACTTCTCTGAGGAGGGCACCACTTCTGCTCTATTTTATTTTTATTGTTTTTATTTATTTATTTTGCTTTTTGAGTCACACCCAGCAATGCGCAGGGGTTACTGCTGTCTCATGCACTCGGGAATCACTTCTGGCAGTGCCCGGGGGACCAAATGGGATGCTGGGAATCAAATTTTTACCCGCTGTGCTATCGCTCCAGTCCCTCTTTCTCTATTTTACAGGTGCATAACAGATTCATGATGCCTGATATCCAAAACTATTCTGGGAAGAGTAGAAGCAAGATTGTCAGTCACATTCCTCATAAGAGACTTTGTGCATAGTCAGAGGTTTTACAACCTTCTATATAATAGCATTGGATGCTCAGAACCAATCAAATCATCACAGTCTACAAACAGTATGGACACCAAAGCAAGAAGTTCTATTTCATGAAAAAGAAGAGTTACAGAGAGACAAATTAGGAAGTCAGCATAGACTTCAAAGATGAGTTCTCTGGATCCCATAACCTGGTCTGTTCTGATCTTTCAAAACAGAAGCTTTGTGATGGAGATTGGGAATCTGTATTGCCATAAAAGGCAGGTCAGGTTATCACAAACTTAACTATCCCTGTCAATTTAGAAAGGAGGAAGTAAAGATTAAGGGATGTTAATTGTGGATCTAACTAGAGGCGTGGTGAATTCCTTAACATACCTGTCTCCCACATCTGCTTCTGTCTGCAATGCCCCAATGTCTGAAGGCCCTATCAGCTGTGTAACAAACCAAATCCCCTCTTGCATGGTGTAGAAACAAAAAGGGTGACTATTTCAATCAGCCTTTTTTTGTCTATGATGTCTGTCCAAATAAATGTATAAAATGACAAAGATGAAGCTGACAGCCTAATTTGGAACCAGATATCCTCCATCACATAACATTTGGGGGGTAATTCTAAGATATTCAAGTTGGCTATTAGAATGTCAGTTTACCAGGAAATTGGTTATTAGTCAAGGATAACAGGTGCTTTCAAACTACAGTAAGTGTTGACATTTGAAGGAAAGAAAGCATAATAACTTAATGCTTTTATTGCCTTTGTAGGGAAATGAATAGCCAATCCCTGTCAATCCTCAGCTCTACTTTACTTGGTGATTACATATGTAACAGCAAAGATCTCCAAGGGTAAACATTATGTGCACTGTCAAGGACAAATAAACGATAGTATCAATCAAAGGGTAATGATACAAACAGATGTGAGATGCCAGAAAGGTAAAATGTGACTGCAATTGTATCTTACATTGTTAAAAAAATAATTGTTATACTACTATTATCTTGCTCTCTGACCCTTAGACAATGAAACAACACATATTTTATATGTAAAGTATCAAAACTATATTTTGAAATATGTTTCTTTCTCCTTGAAGAAAAATTATGTGAAGAGGAGCAGCGTACAGTATCATGATATACAGTTTCTTTCTTAAAAAATGTCTTAACTTCAGGCTTTTCTACCAGAAATGGACTATTTCTACACTTCCCCAAACAATTAAAGAATTTAAAATGACTTATATGTTGGTTTTAGAAAGACATAAATGTGGTAATGTGGTTCAATGGCAGGGAATTAGGAATACAGTCTGTGAGGAAGAAAAGTTAGTTTCTTTTTTTTCCTTATTTTGGGTCATACCCAGCTATGCTCAGGGGTTACTTCTGGTTCTGCACTCAGGAATTACTCCTGGAGGTGCCTGGGGCACCATATGGGATGCTAGGGATTGAATTCTGGTTGGCCGCGTGCAAGGCAAACGCCCTACTCACTGTACTATAGCTCTGGCCCAGAAAAGCTACATTTTCATCTCTGGGTTTTGACTGCTTTGTTGGTATAAAGAAGTTTCAAATAAAAGCCTATAAAATGCCTTCTAGTTTTAACATATCATATAATAATTGTATGTATATTGAGTAGAATCATTTTAATTTTGTTTTTTTTTTATTCTCTTCTATTTTTTATACTGAATCTCCAGGAGATACATAGTTACAAAGCTATTCATGATTTGGTTTCAGTCATACAATGTATCAACAGCTTTGGTTTCAGTCATACAACATACCAACAGCCATCCATCCACCAGTGTACATTTCCCACCACCAATGTACCAACTTTCCCTCCCACCAGCACCATCATTCCCCCAAGCAGCCTGCCTCTATGACAGGCACTTTTCTTCTCTCTCTCTCTCTCTCTCTCTCTCTCTCTCTCTCTCTCTCTCTCTGCATTATGGTTTGCGATTAAAGGCACTGAGAGGTTATCATGTTTGTTCCTTTACCTACTTTCAGCATGCAGTTCTTATCCAAAGTGATTGTTTCCAACTGCCATTGTCATAATGGTCTCTTCTTTATCTCAACTGCCTTCTTCCCCAGCCCTTGAGGCAGGCTTCCAACCATGAATCAATCCTCCTGGCTCTTGTTTCTAGTGTCCTTGTGTATTAGTCTCCTGCTACTTTTTCATATCCCACAAATGAGATTCTCATTTTTGTTTGTTGTTGTTGTTGTTGTTGTTGTTGTTGTTGTTTTGTAACAACAGGCAGTGCTCAAGGACCATTCCTGGTGGGGCTCAGGGATTATACAGGGTGACGGGGATTAAATCCGGGTTGGATAGGTGCAAAGCAGGTGCTCTACCCACTGTATTATCACTCTATCCCTCAAGTACACTCTCCTATACTCTCCAATCTCTTACCAAATAAGGGAGGAAGATGCAGTTTTTCCTTTACCAGACCCACAAATCTTATTTGTCCTAAAATATACACTATGAAGTGAACCATGGAAATATATGGACATTTATCTCTATTTTCAAAAATGTTCTTATGGTACTATCAAGTGCTTTACAAGATTAACCCTTTTTAACATTACTTAATAAAATTTTTGTTTGTTTTTTTGGGTCACACTGCCAATACTCAGGGTTTACTACTGGCTCTGCACTCAAAAAACAACTTCGAGCAGAGCTCAGGGGACAATATGGAATGCCAGAAATTCAACCTGGGTCTGTTGCATTCAAAACACTGCAATATTATTCCGGTCCGAAGTAATCCCCACAATCGCACACCAATATACTTCTTTTTACTACAATAAAGATAGAAAATTGAACACAGAAAGGTCAAGGAATTTCTTTTTTTTATTTTTAAAAATTGAATCACTGTGAGATAGTTACAAGCTTTCATGTTTGGATTACAATCACACAATGATCAAACACCCATCCCTCCACCAGTGCACATTCCCCACCACCAATATCCCCGGTATACACCCCCTTTCCCACCATCCCCCTGCATCCATGGCAGACATTATTCCACATAATCTCTCTCTACTTTTGAGCATTATGGTTTGCAATACAGACCCTGAGAGGTTACCATATTTGATCCTTTATCTACTTTCTGCACACATCTCCAATCCTGACCCATTTCTCCAGCCATCTTTTTCTTAGTGATCCCTTCTCTATGCCAGCTGCCTTCTCCCCTTTGCTCATGAGGCAGGCTTCCAGCTATGGAGCAGTCTATCTGTCTCATGTATCTACTATCCTTAGGTATCAGCCTTATGTTATGTTGTTTTATACTCCACAAATGAGTACATTCTTCTATGTCTGTCCCTCTCTTTCTGACTCATTTCACTTAGAATGATACTCTCCATGTCTATCCATTTATAAGTAAAGTTCATGACTTCATCCCTCCTGACAGTGGTATAGTATTCCATTGTAGAGGAAACCAAAGTTTCTTTAACCAGTCATCTGTTGTAGGGCACTTGGGTTGTTTCCAGATTTGGCTATTGTGAACAGTACTGCAATGAACAGAAAGGTACAGACATCATTTCTACTGTGCTTTTTTGCATCCTTGGGATATAATCCCAGAAGTGGTATTGTGGGGTCATATGTAAGCTCAATTTCTAATTTTTGAAGGACTGTCCATATTGTTTTCCAGAAAGGCTGGACTAGTGGGCATTCCTACCAACAGTGAAAGAGTGTCCCTTTTTTCCCCACGTCCATGCTAGCACTAGTTGCTTTTGTTCTTTTGAATGTGTGCCAGTCTCTGTGGTATGAGATGATATCTCTTTGCTGTACAAAGAGGAAAATATAGGCATAACTCTCCACGACATTGAAGCTAAAAACATCTTTAAGGATGAAACAGCACTGACATGCAAGTGGAAGCAAACATAAACAAATGGAACTACATCAAACTAAGAAGCTTCCGAACTTCAAAAGAAATCTTGACCAAAATACAGAAAGAGCCCACAGAATGGGAAAGAATATTTACCCAATACCCATCTGATAAGGGATCAATATCCAGGATATACAAGACACTAGTAGAATTGTACAAGAAAAAGTCCTCCAACCCCATCAAAAAAATAGTGAGAAAAAATGAACAGAAGTTTCCTCAAAAAAGAAATACAAATGGCCAAAAGGCACATGAAAAAATGTTCCACATGACTAGCCATCAGGGAGATGCAAACCAAAACAACAATGAGTTATCATCTCACACCACAGAGACTGGCACACATTCATAAGAATTAAAACGTCAAGGAATTTCTAACAACTGATATGTCACAATCACTTCAGGATACTATACTATTCAAACCTGGGTTGAACCTGGGGTTTGGGATCTCTGGACCCAAAAAATGCCCTTTACCATTTGGCTTCTATGTCCAACACATGCAATGTGCAATGACTGCATTACTCTAAGAACATAGGCACTCGCTCAAGATTCATAATAGGATCCTTTCACAGCGTCTTCATTATGTATTGGCCAGTCCCTCAAAATCAAGTGATTTTCCTTTTTTGCCTCATAACACCCCCAACACCAAGTATTTACCTCTTTCTTTTTCCTCTCTTCTTCCTTTCTCTTCTTCTCTTCTCTTATCTGGGCTAAGCGCTGTTTTTTGCGCTCCAGTTCAGCTTTTAAGTCACTTTTGTCAGACATTTTGGTTTCCTAGGAAGGAAAGAGAAAAAGTTAACATATAAAAATAACTTTATTGGGGGTATGGTGCCGCCAGCAGGTCAACCTATACCTATGGGGTGAGTGCATCAGCAGCCTGAGGGTGCCTTCAGACTTCCAGATACCCCCAAATTGCTGCTGTGCCTTTGGCCAGACCCCAACAACTTAGGGCCAAGTTTACCAAGAAATTAAACAGCCAAAAGTTAGGTATGAGGGAGATATACTCACAAACCACCTCCAGCTCAACTATATAAGCTCATTTATTAGCCTTACTTCAGATAACCATAAATCTCAAAAGAGATCAAAAGATGGCAGTTAGGGACTGTAGTGCAGAAGTAGGTGGGAACCTGTAATTAACTAAGGGCTCCAAGCATGCTTGGATCAGGACTGGGGCTCCTTCCCCCAGGTCCCCAGTTTTCCAGTAGCTTGGCAGTCACACCCACAAACTGCCCCCGGCGCCATGTAATCCCATCAACGGCCAAGACTCAGGGACTATAAACTAAAACTCCTGAAAGAGAATGCCTCCGAATGTTCTGACCCCGTACCAGGCTGTCTTCACCAGGGCACCTCAGAGGGGGACAGGTTGAGACCCTCCCGCCCCAAGGGATCCAGCTCCGGCAACCAAAAATCTCAACAACTCAACTGCCGCCATGGTCAAGGCCTCACCCCACATGCTGGGGTTGAGCCTCACATATAAGTAAACATATTCCTGGACTGTGTGGCGACTTGCTTTTGCGGCTGTGTGACACATCATAAAACATTCCCTACCTATTCTTCATAATTACCACATCACATTTGATGGATTTCAGATAGTAAGCAATAAATCATAGAGGGAAATATATATGCATAAATACATATTTTCAGATATATATACCAAAGCTCACATCACCCAAACTTTAACAACAATTAGTGATATCCTATAGAATGTCTCAATGGCTCCTGCCAAAATATAACAATCTTCACATTGTTTCCTATGTGAACACTTCTTTTGTAAACACGTTCAGCAGTTCTTCACAACAGGCAATACAAAATATATTATTTTGATTGTGTTTTGGGACAGATATTGAGGATTGGGATGGAAACATCACGAATTTGGTGATGGGAAGGTGTAATGGTGGCAGGATTGGTGTTTGAATATTGAATGTAATCAAACATTGTGAACTAATAAAATTAAAAAAAATTAAAAAGTAATGTGGAGTTCATGCCCAATTCAATCAGCTTAATCTATGGCTGAATAAATAACAGTGCTCCCTGCTCCCTGGTTGAACTCCACAAGAAGAAAACATCCAACCCCATTAAAAAATGAAATGACAAAATGAACAGAAACTTTCTCAAAGAAGAAATTCGAATAGCTAAAAGGCACATGAGAAAATGATCTACATCACTAATCATCAGAGAGATGCATAACAAAACAACAATGAGATATCATCTCACACCACAGAGACTGGCCCACATCCAAAAGAACAAAAGAAACCAGTGTTGGCGTGCATGTGGCGAGAAAGGGACCCTCCTCCTTCACTGCTGGTGGGAATGCTGACTGGTTCAGCCATTTTGGAAAACAGTATGGACGATTCTCAAAAAAAGAGAAATTGAGCTCCGATTTGACCCAGCAATACCACTTCTGAGAATATATCCCAGAGAGGCAAAAAAGTACAGTTGAAATCACATCTACACTTCTATGTTCATTGCTGCACTGTTCACAATAGACAAAATTTGGAAAAAAAACTTGAGTGCCCAAGAACAGATGACTGGTTAAAGAAACTTTGGTACATCTACACAATGGAATACTATGCAGCTGTTAGAAAAGAAGAAGTCATGAAATTTACATACAAGTGGTTCTACATGGAAAGTATCATGCTAAGTGAAATGAGCCAGAAAGAGAAGGACAGACATAGAAAGACTGCACTCATCTGGGGAATAAAAAGTAACAGAATGGAGTCGAACACCCAAGAAAACTTGAGATAAGTACCAGGAGGTCTGCTCCACGGCTTGGAAGCCGGCAGCACATGCTGGGAGGAAAGGCAGCTCAGATAGAGAAGGGAACACCAAGTAAAGGATATTTGGAGAACTCTCTCGGGATGTGAGATGCATGCTGAAAGTAGACTAAAGACTGAACATGATGTCAACTCAATACCTCTATTGCAAACCACAACACCCTAAAGGAAAGAGAGAGCAAAAGGGAATGCCCTGCCACAGAGGCAGGGTGGGGTGGGGGGTTGGGGAGTGGGAGGGCTACTGGGATTATTGGTGGTGGAGAATGGGCACTGATGGAGGAATGGGTACTCAATCATTGTATAATTGAAACCCAAGCACAAAAGTTTGTAAGTCTACAGCTGTACCTCATGATGTTTCAGTAATAAAAAAATTAAAAAATAATATTGCTCTTACATTATAAAAAACTTTATTATAATCAAAAATTATTCAGAAGAAAATCTGGTTGAAAGTGTGATTTAGGGGTGGTCAATGAAATGTGCTACTTAGCCCATGTGGACAAATCTAAGAAACAAATTAAGTTCTATTTGTCTTGTTTTATATAAAATATTCTCCTTTTATATTAAACAAAAAAAACTTAAGAAATTCAATGTTATAGTCATTCTGGCCTTCAGAATAATACTTTACCCCAGAATAAGCAACACTTTTCCATACAAGTGTCTGAACAAATAACAGAAAATAAGAATCAAAAGAGAACCATCACCATTACTTCCAATTTAAATGATAATGGACCAATTCATCTCAATACTTAGAAAATAAAACTGGCTGTCATAAACCCTTAGAGATGTGCCCTGATCTAAGGACTTAATAAACGTTCCTTCATCGAGTTTGGGAACAGGGAGATTTCATTGTGCCCAGTATTATATGAATCAGAGAAGACAGTCACTGAAGACCTAACAAGTTAATCTTCCTTTTTCTCTTTAAAACTCTTACTGAACTGTCATAATGAATTTCACCTCCAGCACAACCCTGTTTCTATAAAACTTTAATTTGCATACTGAATGCAATAATGCTTATCCTGGCACTTTTTCTTTCAAAGCAAAAGATGCTTGTGAACACATTAAACGGGAGCTAATAGCATGATAAATTCTTTGGGAAGTTTATCTGAATGAGATTTAGTTTAATGGTGATAGGGATGCTGGTGGCAATGCTGCCAGAAATATTTTCAAATAAAATAAGTCTGAAGAAGACTTTCACCAATTACTAGTAATTATGTCTCTTTTGCACTACCTACTAAACATGAACGAGATGAAAGCACTGAGAAATAAAGACCCTCCTTCTCTGACCTAAATTCCTCAAATAAAGAGAGATTTTTCTTAAAAAGCAACTATCGTTTATCTTATGAGTATTCATTTGCTTATTACTAGTATGAAACTATGAAGAATGCTACGGTATCCCTGAATAGATGACAGTGATGGAAAGTATACATGGAACCAAAAAATACCAAACAATGAAAAAAATCCCCAAATATCTTGTCACTGCCTTTCAAGATAAAGAATCTGCAGTCTCTATAAATAAGGCATGCTTTCAGAAAAATATTCACAAAATTTAGCAGTATAATCTGCCATTCATATTTACATCCTGTGTTTGTCTTTTAACAGAAATTTTTTAAATTCTTCATCTGCACCAGGCACTCTGTAATCAGAGTACAAAGATGGCAAAACCATATCCTCCCTCCAGAAGTACATAACTCAAATTTATGGGCATGCAGTATGGTTGAGAATGTTCTCTGAGATGTTGGTCTATTGATTATTCAAGTCCCAAGTACCTTCCACTCATTATCATATTTAATCACAGCAATCAAAGAGGAATTATATTAGTGTTAAATCATCCTTGACAATGCGGATCAAGGGGCCTCAGCAAGATTGAAGAATATATTGTCAATACATGGTAACTCTAGATTCAAGGAGGTCTATGATCTGAGCTTCTACTATACATTTCTGGACACTAGTATAAAATTCAGAGGGAATGCGAGCAAAAGAACATTCCAAATTTTATGAAGAAGGTCAGGGGAGATTTGTGAAAGAAGCATTTGAACCAGATATGGAATGCTGTCATGAACTACAGAAGAGAAGACAGAGATGGGAAAGCTGATTTTAAAAGGAAAATAAAGGGTATAAAAGAAATGTCTGAATCTATGTCAAGAAACAGAAACTTTAATGATGGGATAACCAGTGAAGCCATGAAAAGAAAAAAAAGGGAATTATTTTAATAATGAAAAAAGGTAGTTTTTTCTTGGAGGGAGGAGGGATATGGGGGCCAGACCCCAGCAGTACTCAGAGCTTACTCCTGGATTAGTGATCAGGATTACTACTAGTGGGCTCTGGGGACCATATGGGGTGCTGGGGATCAAATCTGGAACAGCCACTTCCAAGGCAAATGCCCAAACCACTGTACTATTATTATGGTCCATTCAGTAGCTTTTTTGAAAGAGAAAGTGACCATTTGCTTCAGCTTTTTCTTGTCCTGTCTGCAAAAATATAGATAGAAGCAAAAAACCAGAAACAAGACAAGCTGTTGAGTGACTAGTGCCAGCTTTGAATGAATCAAATATCTTCCCTTCCCTTCCCTGAGAGGAAAGGGGACTATGGGGACTGAAATCAGAGAATGCAGTGCAGAGAGGTCACATCTAAGAAGGATGAAGTAACCCTTTTTGTAAGAACAAAAAAGAAAGTCAACGAAAATTTGCCTTAATAGAGTATAGAATAGCAGTCAATCAGGGAAGAGAAGGCAAGGAAGGCAACTGAAAAGAATTGCAACTGTTAATATCACTGTATCACTGTCATCTCATTGATCTTCGATTTACTCGAGCAGGCACCAGTAGTGAGCAGGCATCAGTAGCATCTCTATTCCTCCCAGCACTGAGATTTTAGTAGCCTCTTCTTACTCATCTTTTCCCAACGATTGAAGGCTCTTTCAGGGTCAGGGGAATGAGACCTATTGTCGTTACTGTACTTGGCATATCGAATACGCCATAGGCAGCTTGCCAGCTCTGCCCGTGT